GTGGTTCATAATCTAATAAGGACTATCAGAAGCTAACCTAGTTATTCTAAGTCAGACTCTAAACTAAGTGTTCAGAATCTGATTAACATCAATCAGAAGCAGAAGAAGAAAAAGCCAACATAATTAAAACCCCTTCTTGTGTTTTCCTAACCTTTAGTTGGCATGAGAACAAGGTCTGTGCTAAACTCTAAATAGTGGTGCAGAAACGATATTGTGAAAAACAATTTTATATAATGGCTGATTCTGAAATATCTCACTCTGGTGCTGGTATTCCTACTCCTCTTGGTGCTGTTAATTATGATTATAGTACATCTAAAAGGAACAACTGTGTTGCTAGACCTCCAACATTCAGTGGAGACTCAAATAAATTTGAATGGTGGAAAAGCAAGATGTACACACATATCATATATCTTAAAAATAATCTATGGAAAATTATTGAAGATGACATTGATTTTCCTGTGAATGGAGTAGGAATGGTAGCTGATAGAAAAACTCTTACACAAGCTCATAAGAAGACTTACAGAAAACACCACAAAGTGACATGCATTCTAGTAGATGTTTTTCCTCACTATGAGTACATAAACATCATCGATAATTCTATTGCCAAAACTAGTTTTGAATCTTTATATGCTACTTATGAAGGAAACCAACAAGTTAAAGAAGCCAAAGCTAATCTTCCGGTTCAACAATATGAGCTGTTTAGAATGAAAGAGGATGAAAATATTGAAATCGTGTTCTCATGGTTTCAAGTTCTTTTGTCTGGACTTCAAGTCTTAAACAAAAGCTATACCACCTCTGATCATGTCAAGATTCTTAGGATTCCTTCTGTCACATACATACCAAAAGTAACAGCTATTTAGAAAGGTAAAAACCTGAACAAAATTAGTCTTAAGGGTCTGATCAGTAATCTACAAAGCCACGAGTTAGAACTCAATGGAGTTTAAAAACCAATTGAGAAATCAAATTCTATGGATTTGAAATCTGTTAAATCTTTACAGGCTTGGGAGCATAAAAAATCCATTCATGCTAAAGCTTCTGAAGAAGATTTAGATGATGAAGAAATGGCTTTCATGATTAAGAGATTTAAGTATCTTTCTATCAAGAACAGAAGGTTCTTTGGCATAAAATATGGCTTCAGAGGAACAAGCTCCTGAGTCAACAAAGGCGATAAAAAAGTATGCTTTAACTTCCAGAACTCTGATCACTTTATAGTTGATTGTCCAGAGCTTCAGAAGGACAAAACCAAAAAGGGAAGCTTATAGAAGAACAACTTCAGAAGAAAGTTCAAGAAAATTTTCATGGCAACATGGGATGAACTTGATGATGAAGAAAAAGTTGACTAGAATGAAGAAAAGCCAATCTAGCTTTGACGACTTCAACACTTTTAGACACATAATCAGAAGCTGATTTTGACTTAAATTTAGAGGATGAAGATGAAGTATTCTCTAAACTCTCTAGATATGATTTAATTATTTTTTGTCAAGACCTTATGGGTCGATGTCAAGAAAAATCTAGACATATTAAAATTATACAAAATCAATATAGTCTTATGAAAGATGAATTAAATTTCTCTAAAAAAATAAGATGGAAAATTGGAAAGAGATCACATTGCTTTAGTAAAGGATATGTCTGACAAACCTTTTGATGAATATGAAATGGCTTTTCAAGAGTTTGTCATAATTCGATTCAATAGAACCAAACTTGCATCCATGATCTATGGTGTAATTAGAAGCAAAAGAAAAGGTTGTGGTTACTCTGAAATCTTAAATTAATCAACATAACTTTCTTCTTCAAGCTCTTCTTAAAAAGAGGTGTACTCTCATTTTGTACATCCTGTTAAAGAGGTTTTAAAACAACCAAAACATATAGCTGCAGAATCAGAGGTTCTGAAGAAATTTGAACCTGAGACCTCAAAGTCAAAAGTTTTGAAGAAATCAGAACCAATGATTCTTAAGTCAAAGGTTCTACAAAGATAGGACTCAAAATAAGAGGAAGCTTGTAATAACCAACGTCAAGGACCCATAAGATTATGGGTACCAAAAAGTGAGATTATCTTTGCTGCAAATATGCTAAAAGGGAAGTCAAAGCAATAGTTTCAGTTCCAGGACAATGGCTGCTTACAACATATAACAAAAAAAAAGCATATGTTTCAAATCGTAACTCAGAAATGGGAAGAAAATGTGGAACCTGGAAGAAACTAATAAGGAAAGATCACTGGTATTGGGAAGACTGAAGCTGATTGATCAGAAGTTGGTGCTTCAAATACGTAACCAACCTCTGAAGCTTATCCAATTGAAATGACCTTTGAAAAGGCTTACGATGGTTATCAAAAGAGAATTTTTGGAACAAAGCAATTTTTCAAGAATAAACTCAGTAGCAAAATGAAGCATATCAGAAGCTGCACAAAGTTATGCCAACTTCTCTGTTTTTACTTAACAATCTCTAAACCTGATATCTCAATATCTGTTTAGAAGAATATCAGAACCATGAAATTAGAATTACACTTCACTGTAACAATACTACTTCTATATGAGTAACAAAAAATATTATTCTATTTCAGAATCAAGCACTTTAAAGACCTTTTAAAATTATGCTCTTGAATATGAATAGAGAATCAGAGTCTGTTGATGATCAGAAGCTACTGTGATCAGAAGCTCTGAACTAGCTTCTGGTGAATAGTAACCTCTAACGCATCTCAGCATCTGAAGCTCAAAATAAGACTAATTCCCTCTAATAAGCACACAAGTGGAAAACATTTTCAATCGCCTCTGACACCTGTCTACTTATGTGTCATAAAACTGAAACATATTCTAACACGTGGTTTGTGATAGTTGGGTAAAAATATTCAAATAATGATGTTTTTGCCTTTAAAAGTGTGCATCCCGCCTCCTTTGTCTTGAAGTTTTGTTTTGATCAAAACATTGTTTTTCACTCAAAACATGCTATCAAATTAGACTCACACACATCTCTCTCACTTCCCTCACTTTCATACTCAAGCCTTCTCTGAAAAACTACCTAGTTTTAAGAAACCCTAAAACTCTTTTTACATAGCTTCATCATCTTCTTCTCAACAAGTACCGATGATTGTCGAATTTGGTAAAAGTCTTCATATCAAACCAAGAGCCATGGATATTAGGAAGAAGGATATGAAACTCATTATGGAGCAGATTATTGATTTTGAATCCTCTAGTATGAATAAATACCCCTTATAGTATTTCTGGGTTAGAGCTGAGGTTTATGATGAGTTTACTGCTTCTCTTGAAGTAAATCAGAAGGTTGCTGGAGACAGTTCATTAAAAGGGAAGAGTAGAAATGAGATGAGATTGAAAGAGTTCGAGGAAGTTAAAATAACATATGTTGTGATGGGAGTTAATGTTACCATCACTCAGAAAATGATTCCAAACTTCTTGGTGTGTCAAATGTAGGTAGCTGAACTTTGAACACCAAGGAAAGCAATCCAAAAGCTGAAGTAATCAAAACCAGGCTGTTTGAGTATTCAGAAAGTATTTCACCTTGCTTAGATTTTAGAAAGGTGAAGAACATGAAGAATCCTTACAAACTTTTGTTCAAAATCCTTATTGGGTGTCTAATTCCTAGAGAAGGTAGTACTGATCAAATCTCTTGAGATTATAGATATTTCACTGGTATTTGATCAATGAGCAGAATTTCAATCTTCCTGCCTATATCTTTCATCATCTATGTGAAGCTATCAAGGAGAGTAAGAAGTATAAAAAAGAGAAATGTACCTTATGCCAAACTCTTTCCTGAGTTGTTTCATCAGGGTCGTCTAATGGACTCTCTGAGAGCTGCCTCTACTCACGATGATCTAGAAGAAATCATGAAAACATTCTCTTTACTTCAATTCTAGCTAACATGAAGCTTCTGAAAAAGAATGATGTATTGAGATCAGAAGCACCATTCAAAGTCAGAAGTATAAATACTGCCTATCTTGAGCACTATCCAATAATTACCAAGCATGACAGTCCAGAGCTAATTAGGAAATTCATCAAGATGGCAAGAAAAGAAGCTGGTGTTGTTCTTGACTTACGAGGAGATATAATTGTTGGTTGTGATAATAAATATATATATAAATAAATTCTTACAGAAATTTTGCTTAAATATTGATACCCTTATTGTAAATAATTTATAAATTTAAATTTATTTCAAAATAAAAAAATATTAAAAGATGAAATGACATTAAATATCATTGTTTTATTGGATGAAAATATTGAAACACAAATAAATTTAATGAAATCGAAGTGTAACCATAACTAAATATGATAGAGAAAACTAAGTTTATTTTGACTTTTGATTTTGTATACAATCTTTATTAACCAAGTTTGCAAATTCATATTATATTGGTTGATTTAAAGCTTCTACTCTCTCTCTCTAATGAGATTTGGTTTTTGTGATAAATAAAGGTCTTGAATGAGAGCTTGTATGTTCGTTGGTAATCTTGTTGTATTGGTAAATTGTTTCCCAATTTAAGATTAGCCACGTTCATGTTTGTGTTGGTGGTTGAAGGCCGAGTTGATTGTTTAGAAAAGCTATGGAGCTTAACTTATACTCAGGAACTCTTTCAAACCCATTACTATTCAAAAATCAGAAACTCTTTCAAATCCATGTATTAAGGCTACTACACCGATGGAGGTGAAAGATAAAAGCATCGTCCTTGCGTGAAAAATGGTATTGTGGCAGTCTGTAAACTTCCTATCGTAGTTTCTCTAATTGATTTTGTAATCCTATTTGCTGTCTAAAAACCTAGATACATGTAACAGTGTGTATATAGTTGAGAGACTGATATAGCGACTTGAAAAGGAGAAAATCAAGATCAATACATTTCCAAGCTTGGACACTTTACAAACAAAGAGAATCAACAACTGCTTAGCAATGGCATATTGTTTTCCATGAAACTATTTTCCATTATGCCTATCCAGTATAATTCATAGATAACTTACAAAGCACATAAAATAAATTGTATAACTAAATCTTAACAAAAATTACAAAATCTTATTTTTCTTAAAAAAACTCTTCAAATGCCATAGCTGCAACCCAGCAACTGAGAAGCAGACCAGAAATGAAACAAAACTCAACCATAACATTCTGGTGTTGGTTGTCCAATTGAAATCTAGCATTTCTTCATCTCTGAAATATAACAAATTTAAAATAAGCTCTCAATTAAAATAAGAATTATGTATCTAAAAATTAGAATCGTCTATTAAGATGTGCAAAATGTGTTATAATACAGATATCAAAATTTTCGAAATAAAATTTATAAGTGTCTCAAAATAAACAAAACCTGTTATAACGTAGAGTCTCAAAATTTTTAAGATATAATTTACGAATAAATAGTCTAATATATATGTATGGTTAAATTATAACAAAATAGAATTTCTATATATTTTATCAGGGTAGAAATATAGAACCATAGATAAAAATTGAATTATAAATACCAAAAAGATACTTACCGTTCACGGAGATAAATTATCTCCTCCATAATGGACAATGCATTTTCATGCAAAACTTTTACCTCTCGTGCCATTCTCTGCAACATGTTAGAAAAATCAAATGATATCATAAAATATGTTTCTTATCTAACAAAGATGAAAGGTTAACAATTAGTAATGCAACATTTATACCAACCAAAATTTCGAAAGTCTTTACACAATCACATTGAGTATTCGTCTATGAGTTTTATCTTAAAATATCAAAATGCATTATTTTTTAAATTCAACTTAAGAATATTACAATACTCAAAATGATTAAACTTAACTTACATCAACGTTAGTTTGCTTTGCAATTTTAGACCAATCCGCAGCAGCCACACCAGTTTTCCACACAAAATCAACAGACAGTGTCACTCCAGAATCACGTGTTGAATCCACCCAAAAACACACCAAGTAGTTACCACTTTCTTGTGCCACAAATGAAAACTGTCCAGATTGAACATGTTCTGCATAATCATGTGAGGTAGTGGCTCCAGACATATACACCTATAATCATCAACAACAACAAAAATTAAATCAGATTAATAACCCTAAAATCATATTACTATTATTTTTTTACTCAATTAAAAATTAAATATTAATCGATAATACCGTAACAGCGATGGTGTGATCCGAGGGTAAAGACTGACCCTCGTTTGAATTTACGATCGAGTAATTTCCAACTGTCATCCAATTTTTCTTGATGTCTTCCGAGATGCATTTGGAAAATCCAGATGGTAAATCGAACCTCAATGATTGAACTGAACATGAAAAAAATGTTACAGCTAGAAGAAGAAGAAGAAATAACAAATGAGGCTGTGGTTTTAATCCAATCATGTTCGTGAATAATAGGTACGTTGAAATGAGAAGAAGAAATTCAATGGAGGCAGCAAAACACAAGTGTTCCCTACTGTGTTGATTTTGAATTGTCAATACAAAATTTGATATCTTATGAGAGCAGCTTTACGTTATACGTAAAAAAAAATCAACTTGTTAAAAGTACAATGGATTTATGAATTAATAGCTAAATAAATTATTATTTGATAAAATATATTAAATAGAATTTTCTAGAAGTCACCCGAAAATAATTTAAAATTTTAAAAATTATTATGAGAAAAGAGATGGTGCCTCAGGTAAAAAAAATTTAAATTAATGATATAATTTGACATTTTAAAATATTTTAATTAAATACATATAATACTTTTTTTATTCCGTGCACTATCATTAAACTCATTTATTATTATCAGGGAATGCAAAATTTTTTATGAAAAAATATAAAAAATTAATAACTAAATGATATTTTTAATATATATATATATATATATATATATATATATATATATATATATATATATATATATATATATATATATATATATATATATATATATATATATATATATATATATATATATATATATATATATATATATATATATATATAAAACTTTAATTCTATAAATAAAATAAATTTTAAAAAAATATTTATATAGGAAAAGGTGACAAGGGGACAATAAGTTGCACACCTAACTCCTTTTTAATGTCAAAATAAATTCTCATAATAACAACATTTACGAATCTAAGACCGCGCCTTTTGCATGAGGGTCGTGTTTCTGAAATTTCTATGTGATTTTTCGAGGTGTGACATTGATGAGTTAGTGGGATCACTTCAAACATTTGAGTTGACCTTGAATGATAGAATTGAAAAGAAGAACAAAAACATTGCTTTTGTATCTAATGCTGAAGACCAGCTGTCAAGGACATCACATCTGACATCAGGAATAAATATGATTCTCTAAAGAATACCAGAACTGAATAAAATTCAGATCAAAGTAAAAGGATTCAACGTTACGAGTGTGATGGTTTTGCTCACATTAGGCCAGAATGTCCCAACTATCTCAGGAAGTAGAAAAAGGGGTTGATTGTTTCTTGGTCTGGTGATGATGAGTCTGAAGATGAACCCAACAAAGAGACTGTTGAATCTGTTACTGCTCTCTCTGGAAGATAGGCTGATGAAGTTGAAGCTTATGATGAAAATGATCTTTATGAAGATTTGGATGTATATTACAAGGAAACCTGCAACAGGTGTGAGGAAAATCAGAGAAAGGCCATAGTTGAATTAGAGAAGGAGAAGAAGGAACTCTTAGGTGTTGTCTCTCATCTTAAAAGTGAGATAACTCTCTTAAGTTCCAAGCTCAATATCGTTATTAATTCCTTATGAAAGATGAAAAATAGGGTTTTTCAAATAGAAGATACAAAAGTCCATTATCATCTTGATAGCAGACAGAGAAGAATGTCTAAAGAAAAGTTCTTTCCTTCTGAAGGGAAGAAGATGATCACAATGTCTAACCATATGTTACAACATTCTGAAAGACATAATGAACCTCCAAATAATTTCCAATCTTGTTGGAGATATCATTACTTTGGAGAGCATGGTCATATAAAGCCATTCTCTTATAAATTGCATGGAAATTAAATATCCTCAGTTAAGTCCAAGGATAAGCCAGTTAGCGAAAAGAGAAGTGTCAAAGATAAGAGTGTTAATCTTATAGCTCACACATCCTTGAGAGCCTCAACTAGAGAAGACTGGTATTTTGACAGTGGATGTTCAAGACATATGACAGGGGTTCAGAAGTTGTTGATGGATATTAAGTCTTTGCCCACAAGTGCTGTCAGATTTTTTGGTGGTGTTAAAGGAGAAGGTAAAGGAGTTGATAAATTGATGGACGCCATATCACCTAAGTTGGAAGATGTTCTTCTTGTGAAGGGACTAACTGTTAACCTCATCAGCATTAGTAAGCTGTGTGATCAAGGTTTATTAGTCATTTTCTCCAAGTCAGAATGTCTAGTCAAAGATGAGAAAAATGATGTTCTGATGAAGGGTATAAAGTCTAAAGATAACTGCTATCTTTGAGAACCTCAAATAACTACTTACTCTTCCACATGTCAACAACTCAAGAGGATGAAGTGAAGTCATGTCACCAGAAACTTGGACATCTTCATCTCAAAAGAATGAAGGAAATCATATATGTAGGAGCAATTAAAGGAATTACATATCTAAAAGTTGAAAAAGGGAAAATATGTGGTGAGTGTGAAGTTAGGAACCAAATCCTTATGTCACAACCAATGTTGCATCATTAGACTACTTCAAGAATACTGGAACTTCTCCATATGGGGGTTATGAGACCTATGGAGACTGAAAGTCTGGGTGGAAAGAAGTATGCTTATGTGGTTATGGATTATTTCTCTAGGTTTACATGGGTAAACTTTCTTAAATAAAAATCAGACATCTTTGAAGTTCTTAAAGTTTTATGTTAAAGTGTTCAGAAGGAGAAAAGGAGTAGGATTGTCAAGATCAGAAGCTACCATAACAAGGAGTTTGAGAATTCAAAATTCACTGAATTTTGTGAGTCTTAAGACATCAGTTATAATTTTTCTTCTTAGCTAGATCGAATTTTTGAGCAAAAGACCTTGGATTTACAAGAATCATCTAAAATCATGCTTTATGCTAAGGGACTTCCATATCGTTTTAGGCTGAAGTTATGAATCCAACTTGTTGTATTCATAATAGGGCCACTATGAGAGAGGGAACTTCAATCACTCTCTATGAGCTATAGAAAGGAAGAAAGCCTACAGTAAAATACTTTCATGTTTTTGGAAGCAAATGCCATGTCTTGACCAACAAAGATCAAAAGGGTAAGATGGATCCCAAAAAAGTTGAAGGGATATTTCTGGGTTATTCTTCAAGCAACAAAGCTTTTAGAATCTTTAACTCCATAACTGAGATGACGATGGAATCTGTCAATATAGTATTTGATGATTTAGAACAGAGGATGGATGTTAAGTACAATGTTGGAACGTCCTCTGTGCAGACTAGTCAGACAAAAGAGAAAAGCAGTAATTTTTCTAGCATTATGTCAGGTAACTTTCAAGATTTTTCAGATCTCTCTGGCAAGGGTCATTCAGGTCAATCCAAGAATATCATTCCAATACACTTTATAGAAAGAAACATTACTAGGTCTACAAATAAAGTATCAAACTTATGTCTTGTCTCCAAGCCTGAATCTAAAATAAGTCCTATTGTCCAAGAGAATAAGATCTTGAATTGCTTCACTAGGACACGGGGTTATGATATGGAGTACTTATACAACACAAAGGCTATGATGAAATAATTATACAAGGTAGAATGTGTGAGTGATATGACAAATAGTTTATCTGCCTTGATTAACAAGAAGCAAACATATGTGTCTCGGTGTACTACTGAAGCTGAGTATGATGAAATTAGAAGGGGTTGCCTTCAATTAGTGTGGATGAAACATATTATGAAAAAACATGATGACAAGGCTGATTTTATGACATTATACTGTAAGGATATGAGTGTTATCAACTACTTCATCTAGAACAAGAACCCTGACAAGTACAATCAACTAATCAACAGTCTTGATAAAGGAAAGGTTGCTATTATGAAGAGTGTAGATAATAAGGATTAACTTATTGTCATGTTTACTAATGCTGCATATGGAAATGATCTTGAGGACATAAGCTGTGAACTAAGAACTGGCACTGATGAGGTGTTGTAACAATTATAGAAATGAAGGAATGTAACACATATTGCATCTTTCCTCTATTCTCTGATGCTTGGTAGGCTTGAGTGTCGCATCGCTGCGAAGAGGGGCCGACAATGACAGAAGAGTCGCCACCGTTCTTTATTTATCCCAAAGAGGGGGAAAGGAAATAATCAGAGAAAACCTATGAAAAGAGAATAAGACAGGTCATCGCAACCAAATCTCGGGTTCGGGAGTCGGTTACACAAGGGGAAGGTATAACACCCCTCACGTCCGTCATATTCGACGGGATCCACGCTTGTTGTCTAGTCTATAAGGGTGTAAATCTATCTATGCTAAAGGCTCACGGGGACAAAAGAAAAGAAAAATGACTCGATAGAGCATTGCTGCTCTATGCCTACATATTCTCCGTGCAATGGGAAAGTCAGAGTCAACGTAGTTCGGCTAACTACGGGTGAAGGTGGGGTAAGGTTACTCGCCAAGACATCGTCGTCTTGTGCCTACGTATCCTCGTATGGTACGAGAAATCAGAGCAAATGTAGTTCAGGATGACATGACCATAGATTTGTTCAAGTGTTTTAACTGAGTAGGGTTAAACCTTCGTTCTAGCAGTTAGGTGTATTGCTGCTCGACCATTGGAGACTTAGGCGTTACCTGTTTGCGGTAGAACCAAGAGTTAACAACACTCTTTTTGAAAATGGTTTTCAATTAATCCCGAAGGATAAGAAAAGTTTGATGTTTGTTTTTGAGTCTTTTATGAAGAAAAAGTGAATTGAATTGTGGTTTGAAACTCATGTCGCACTAAAGACTATGACTTGAGAGCGAATGCGTCGCATATTGCCCAAAGGGCATACGCTAAACACTCTAGACAGTTGAGAGGAAGCCCCCCAACCATCATTCCTCGAGTACTTAAGGCTTGTAGCGCACGACACAAATTGTCCTTTATTAAGTGTTTTGAATTGTTTAGGAGATGAGAAGAGAAAGACTCAAACTAAGGGGAAACTGGACCCTAAAGTTGTCATGCACAATGCTCATAAAGTTGAGATGAGAGGGAATGAAACTATCCTAGTGTTGTCATGCAAAGGATTGAACACCTAATGTCTCTCCTACTCCCATCCTAAACGGAGGGACTAGGAATCCTAAGGGGATCATGGTCAAAGGCCAAGTAAACACTAAATAATTCACTCACAAGTGAAATGAGAAAGAAAATAAATTTGCAGATTCAAAATAAAATGATAAAATGGAAAATAAAATAAAATAAAATAAAAAAGG